TTTATTTATGTTGTGATTTTTAACTAAGGACTATTATATTTGAAAAATATCATTACATGCCTTGTGTTATGCTTTCCCAGTTTAATGAACAAGGTCCGTTAGTACTGTGCTTTAAGTACCAAAGATTTTATTTTTCTGAACCAGTTATTCATGTGTTTTTTTAGTTGGCCAGTCTTTTTTGCATAAGCTTGAACATCCAAATTTGGCTCGTACCTTACAGGATCTTCCAGAATATTTCAGAGAAGTATAATCTCTGGAGAACAAAAACTTAGACTCACAAAAGTCGATAAAGTTAGGGACGATTCTTCAGTGTCTCTTAACCCTTTCCCCCTGGGCACTTAAATTAGCCATTGGAGAAGTATGTCCTAACGTGTGTGTAATTTTCAAAATATTATTTGCTAGCCAAAAACCTCTGTGCCTTAGTTCAGAGCGGTCCCCTTTGGGCCTCCTGCATAGTAAATACACAAAAATATGTATTGGAAGTATTGAATTCAGTTTCCAGAAATGCTCTCCCTGTAGCCTTCCTCGTCTAACTGCTATCTATCTCAAGGAACAGCTCCCCGTGAATCATCCCTCATATTTTCAGGTAAAGGTAGAAGTAATCTTTCCACCTGTTAGTTTTTTATTGCTTTGTAACAAATTTCCACAAACTTGGCCGCTTAAAACAATACCAATTTATTATCTCACAGTTCTATAGGTCAGAGGTCTGAGTGGCTCCCCTGGTTTCTCTGCTCAGAGTCTCATAAGGCTGAAATCAAGCTGCCAGTCAGGCAGGGCTGTTATTTGGAGGTTCTGAGGAGAAATGCTCTTCCAAGCTCATTCAGATTGTTGGCAGAATCCAGTTCCTTGAAGCTGTAGGGCTGAGGTGCTTGCTTACTTGCTGACTGTCAGCTAGGGGCCACTCTCTGCTCCTAGAGGTCACCCACATTCCTTGTTACATGACCCCTACATCTTCAGACCAGCAATGTCCCACTGAGTCTTCTTATACTTCGTATCTCTCTGACTTCTCTTCTACAGCCAGCCAGAGAAAACTCTCTGCTTTTTAAGGGCTAGTGTGATTAGATTAGGCCCACCCAGATAATCTCCTTTTGCCATATAATGTAACATAATTAAGGGAGTAAGACCAGGGGGTGAAGGACATGGGGACCATCTTAAAATTCTGCCTATTACCCCAACATTCAAAGAAGGGTATCATAGAAGGTTATGCTTTTCTTATAGGTTCTCTTAGTCATCACTCTTTAAGAGGTAACCTCCTCCAGGGCAGCATCCATGACCGAGTCATTTTATGATACCCTATTATACCTTTCCCACCTTTCAAGTACTAGGTATTCACTGTATATCTGATGAACTAATTACTTTTATTTAAATGAATTATGGGGTCAAAAGATGATTAAAATTATCCCAAAGCAAATTGTGCAGTTGGAGGAACAGTGTGCACTGACTGGATAGTTCATTGCTGGGTCTTTTCTTTTTGAAGCTACATTTATTTATGATCAACCAGAGAGACTAAACAGTGGACACATGGACTTGGACTCTGTTGCAGTTCAAGTGAGGTCAGAGGAATGCCACAAAAAAACTTAAAAGGCATGAAGTAGATATTAAAGTAAAATTAATATTTGAAGGAAAAATATAATCATTAGTGAGAGAAAAGAGTGTTCTGAAAAATTATGTTCCATTTAGGGTACCTCATTACTAGATTCTTTAAGGGAAACTGGAGGGAGTTCAGAGACTTAAAGAATGATGAAGAGGCTGTAGAGATTAACTTACAAACAAAGATTTTAAAAGACTAAATATGTATAGTATGGCTGAACAACAGCTGAGTAGAGATGTTAACAACAGTATTGTCAAATGCCTAGTATCAAGAGAGGAATGTGTTTCTCTGATGAAAAGAGTTGAGGATCGCTTTCTGAATATTGGAATTAAATGAAGAATGAGAAAACACAATCTTTGCTAACAACCTTGTAAGTAATTTTCAAACTATAATGTAAAGTATCAGACTTGAATTCAAATCCCAGCTCTTCTACTTGCTGCCTGTGAAATTTCAGGCAACTCCTTTAACCTTTTCGAACTTAAGTCGTGTATAGAGTAGGAATTACTATACCACCTACCTCATGGAGTTAATATGAAGATTAAATGAGATGACATATGTAGACAGTCTGGTTCTATGCCTGGCACAGATTGCAGGTTGAGAAAAACAGTAGCTGCTATTGGTAATTACCATTAATCGTCATCGTCCTTAGGTGGCTAAGAGTTCAGAGTTCCAGGGCCAGATAAACTTAGTGTGCAGATTCCAACTCCACCATTTATTAACTCTGTTATCAGGGGTAATTCACTATATAAATCTTTTTTTTAGTGTTTTCCAACCATAAGAGGGTTACAGTGAGTTCTGAATGAAATAATACAGTATAAACTACTTAACATAATGCCTGGTACATAATTAATAACCCAATAAATGTATTAGCAACTATAGCATTATTTTCATTATCATTAACACCATCATCATTTTGCCATAGAACCTGGCAAAATGCATAGTATACGAGGGTAAGTCAAAACAGACTGCTACTAGGGTTCCAGTTCATACATGCACGGGTTTATACCAAACAAAACGTGTTTAAACACATCTCTTGCGATCAGTGGATGGCTGTAGACAAGTTCTCTCAGTAATACACTTGTCTTAGTCTCATTGGGTACCTTCAAAAAAAAAAAAAAAGGATACTTTTTGTGCCGTGGCAAAAAACGATTTTGAGGTCAGGGCTAATATCAAATTTTTAACAAAACTCAAGTGGACATCTTCCCAAATCATTGAAGCTGTGCAGCAAGTTTATGGGAATGCTGCTCCACATAAAACACCAGTATTTAGATGGATCAGGCATTTTAAGGAAGGTCAGGTAGACCGCTCAGAAGGTTATGGCAACTGTTTTTTGGGATTCCAAAGGGGTAATCTTAATAGATTTTCTCAGAGGACACAGGACAATCATGGGGGACTTATGAAGACGTTTTAAGAAAACTGAAAACTGCGTCGGTGAGAAAAAGACCAGGAAAATTGCGCCAAGGAATTTTTTCCATCACAACAGTGCGCCTGCTCATTCTTCAAGGGTAGCAAGGGCTGTCCTCCGAGAATTTCGTTGGGAAACCTTACCCCATCCACCCTACAGCCCTGATCTTGCCCCTTCAGACTTCTTTTTGTTCCCAAAACTCAAAGAACGTTTGAAAGGAACACGATTTGAGTCCCTCGAGGATGCCAAAACTGCCGTTTCGGCGTGATGTAAATCAAAAAGTGCAGAATTCTTTGGGGAAGGGTTAGAGAGATGGAAACACACCTTCAGAAGTGTATAGACCTAGATGGAGGATATCTCAAGAAACAATAGCTTTACATTTTGATATTTTTGTTTAATAAAGGTTTCTATGATTTTGTAGCAATAGTTTTTGACTTACACTCGTATAGTCAAATCATTTCCAAATTTTTCCTGTTATAGACAGTGCCATATACATAGCTCCATTTCCACCATCACTATCACACACAAAAAAAAACTGTTCAGTAATTGTTGAGCTAAGTAATTTGTACCAATGATCATGTCAGGTATTTGTGGTCACTATACATTGCCGGGGAGATGCCAGGATGGGTTTCTGTGTTCCTTATATAGTCAAATTTATGACAACAGATTTAAGTGCAATTGCCATTTTAATAAAACTCTAATACTTAGATTTACCTGAATTTCTGTGAAAGAATCCTTGCACTTACTAATAACATTTTCATTTTATTTTTCCACACTTAGGAACTCTCTGTGGCTCCTCATTGTGTATAGTATTGTATTGTTGCAGTAAACAGAATGTACTCTAGCTAGATCAAACAAAAATGGTATTACTTACAGCATTATTAATTAGAAAGCATTAAGATTACATATTCATAAGAAAACATTAGGTAGCTCACAGAAACTCTAGGAAGGCCAGAAGAAGAGATACAGGTGGCACATAAGCATGTGAAAAGATGTTCAGTATCATTAGTCATTAGGGAAATGTAAATTAAATCACAGTGAGATACTACTACACACCTACTAAAATGGCTAAAATTTAAAAAACTGACAGTATCAAGAGCTGACAATGACACACAGCAACTGAAACGTTCATACATGGTTGGTTGGAATGCAAAATTGTACAGCCACTTTGAAAAACAGTTTGGCATTTTTTAAATAAAGTTAAACATATATTTACTGTTCAATCCAGCAATTCCACTCCTAGGTATTTGTCCAAGAGAAGTAAAAAACACAAGTTCAAACAAAAATCTGTGCCCAAATGTTTATAGTACCTTAATTCATAATAGCCAAAACTGGAAACAACCTAAATGTTCATTAACTGGTGTATTAGACAAACAATTGGTGATACAGCCATACAATGGAATACTACTCAGCCATGCAAAGGAACAACCTATTATATATGCAACAACATGGATGAATCTCAAAAACATAAGTGAATGAAGCTAGACACTAGAGTCTATATGTACATATGTTCCTATTTATACAACATTCTCAAAAACCCTCTGTCCTGTTAGACTGTTGTCTTGATCAAAGTGTACAGTTCTTGACACTGAGATTGCATCAAGCGTAGGGTGCAGACAAACGTAGGGTGCAACTAGAAGCAAAAATGCTGAGTTTAAGTAGTTTACTGAATAAGGTGTAGCTCCACAGGGAATCAGAAATCCAGATTGGGTCAAAGGTCAGTACAAGGTAGTTTGAGGTGGGCCGGGGAGCACAGGACCCTCAGCAGGGCAGAGAGCCAAGGTCAGCCTGCTGGACCTGACAGCATGAATATCTGCTGTAATGGAAATACTCCATTAGAATATCCATTCATGTAGTGTTTAGCATCCAGAGAACGTAAGTGTTCTTTGATGATCTTTAATTAAAGCTGATTGCAGTTGCTGGCAAGGAGATGATTTGCCTTTGACAAATTTCCAGATCTGGTTTGCTTCTCCGTTTGCAATAGGTTTTACTGACTCTCTTCAGCAACATAGGATTGGCAGTGATAAGAGACCACACTTAAAGATCGAGTTCGCCCCAGAGTTTCCTCAGTTTAATAGCGCTTCTAGTTGTTTTCAGGCCAACATAAGATTCCAAAGCAAAGGACCATTCTAATTGAAGTGTTTTTAATATGACAGATTTTATAATGATAAGTTTGGCTCACATATAGCCTATGCCTCATAAATAAAGCAATAAAGAAAATAGCCTGTGGTTAGAACTCAGCAAACTTAGATTCTGGTCGCTGGACTCAATGTTTTTAACCTTAGATAGGTCATTTAACCTCTCACTTTTCTTACAGGTTAAATGAAGCAAGTGGGCTAGATGCTCTCATAGGTGCCACTCAGCACTAATATTAATTCCATGATTCTAAGAGAAGTTGATACTATGATTGAGAGGAAGAATGGAGGAAGCTTTTTCATTTCTTAGACTTCAAAGCTTTTAGACTTGGCTTGGGCTTTGGACCTCAGAATAGCAGGCCTCAGCTGTGTCTAGTGTTTACATTATAACATATCTATTTTGGAAAAGACTGGCATAGCATATAGATGGGGATGGAAAAGTACTTAGGTCGTTCTTACAACCAGAGGCCCACAATCGGGTTCTCATTCTTTCCCTTAGAGGTATGTATTGCAATGACTTACTATAAGAAACAGTATTATTGCTCATATTAAATATTTTTCAAGTAGCTTTTCCATGTATTTGAAGGAGTTGTATTTTCTTCTAGAAAAGCAGGTTTTATTTTTGACATCGTGTTGCCCTTTTTTAAGAAAAGTTCTTAATCTAGTTCTTTTCATGTCAGTGAAACTTTAACATTTAAAAATGAATTGAAATATTGATAACTAGCCCTACAGATTTTTGACTATATAAACCAAAACTCTAAAGTTAAGTCTTTGATACATATGTGCATTTTTAATTCCTTATTTTTCAGTTCCTCTAGACCAGTTCTCTTTGTAGTCAAATTCATTGTAATCCCATCACGAAAGTGTTGATCTTTTAGTAACCTTTATTGAAGCATTGTATTAATCCACATTCCCTCACGGTAACAGACGGTTTGTATCAAACATATCATGCAGCTTAGCTCAAGCCCCATATGGAACTAATAAGCCACGCAGTCAGTGGCCTTGTGTAGATGAATGGACTTTGGAAAGATGTGTGTGTGTG